CCGTCTCATTAAAATAACATATTACATTTAGAACAAGCACCCAAAACACCTAACAAGAGGTCCCAGTTCAGTTGCTTTCACGATACAAGTGTCATACAACTATTAGATTTGAAGTGCCGTTCAGAATTTAATAATAGTTAGTACTAGTTAGTTGTATGTTCACACTTTACTATCAACACCACCATTTCGACCACTCCTGCGCCAGTGATCAGTGTTTGGACGAGCGGTCGGTGTTTTCAATGAGCGAGCGAGTCCCCCCCCAAAAAACGTGATTAAAATGCGGTCGGTTTCCGGTCGGACAAGACCGCATGGTCGGAAATTAGGCGTTAAGCGGTCGTTGTCAAAGCGGAAGGTTGGGCGAAATGAGTACTGTATGACCATGTTTCTCGGTCGAAGTCTCGACTGACAATAATGCTGACAATGGACGTTAGATAAACACGCATTGTTTGCAACTGGAAGCTTATCACCCGTTATATCAGAATCGTCAACAACAGAGTATACAGATAAGATGTTATCATTTAAACCCTTTCAAAGATAAACAATATGCAAATATCCACGAAACAGCAGTTGTAGTCTTTTCTGCTAGCGTTTTAAAACACTGATTTGAGCGACGTTATTTCGCAATTTCCATCTTTTGTAAACCTGGGATGATGTATCAAGGTCTAAAGTGAACGTTTTATCATTTTTTGAAAAATCAAGAAAAAAGTGAAAATTTCCCTTCTCGCTACCTTAAGCAATTAGGTGGAAATACCAGTTACATCACTCATGAAGATTGATGATTCGATTGCTGACCGGGATAGCTGTATTTAGTGTTCATTTCTATGCAATTGTGATTCCCAATTTGTATATTTTTCTACATTTCTTCATTAATTTTGGATCGGATTATTACTCATTGGCCATTTTAATCAAAATCTTTCAGAAAAAAACATTTTGTGAATGGTGTATTGTTGAGTTTTAAAGCAAGTCTTTTCTACTATACTCACATGTGTGAGGTCAGGATTGGTAGCTAACTGGAAAATCTTGCAAGCTTTCTTCAGTCCAATGTTGGGTAATGATGCTAAATAATCACAGCCAGATGCAATACACATATAGCGGAATTTATCAAAGCTGTATTTACTGCCCATCTTCATGATTTTGTTCAGCTTAGACTTGTCAATTTCTAAACCATTACCGTTCAGATCCATTTTAACCATAACCTGAAAATAAATTCTTATGATGAGAAAGGTGATTTAGGATGCAGGTTTTACAATATTCAAGTGGAACAAACAGAAAATTTATACATTGCACTATAAAAGAACAAGTTATTGTTAATGACATGGAATTAGGGAAAATGTAATTACTACCTTGTACTAAAATATGTTTGGATATTTAGAGTAGTAACAAATTCCCACTTCTGGCACACCACAAATATTCACTTTTGAAATATAATTTTTGGTATGTGTTGGTTCTTGGATATTTCAGCTTCATCATCCTGTACTTTGTTCAGTAATTTGGACTTCACAGACTGTGTAAAAACAGATAGTGTCACGATTTTGACACTGAGAAATGCCAGGGCTAAATTATTTGCTAGGGACGGTCCGCTTAGGTATGTGATCTGAACATGAACCTAAAAACGTAATCAAAAATGACTTGTACTAAAGTACATTAAGTACTTCAAGGTCTTCAATTTTTCATAACGTAAAAACGATTTGCTCCCTCGCTTATTGTGACACCCTCAAATAGACCGATTTCCATTCATCTCCCGCCTACAATGGTATCGTCCCTTATTTTACGCTATGCCTCGAAACAGTTTTTTATGCTTCACATGTTTATTTGCCTTCAATCACATTTTGGTGGTTGTCACAGTCGTCCCTGGAATCTTGCCGATGTTTTGCTTCCAATTCACATAGTTTTCACTGAGCAAATTCAACAAATATTTCAGTTTGTAGTCAACTAACATACCAGAAATCAAATTAGCATAACAATGAGTTTTTGACACAATTTTCACATGAAAAACAAATTATGGTTGAATGCTGTTTTCTTACTATAAAAGAGGCCAACCCGTTGACAACGCATGGGTAAGTTCAGTAAATCCCTTCAATTTTAATCATTTGTATTGTAATACATTATTAACAATTAAAATATATATATTTCTTTATTTCATTTCTGAGAATGAGTTATACATTCGTTTCGTATGATTTCCCATCTATATTATAAAATTGTTCTGGGGATTATTAATTTCAATAAACAGTATTCAACTATTTTTCTGCAACACCAATAAAATCATTACTTACAATATTTCACTAAGCAGTATAACAAGAATGCATAATGCAAAGCCCATATTCTAAATGGTCAAATGTTTCTTGGTCAAAGTTAGAAACTAGGGGAGCATTATCAGGGGTTATATTTAGGAACTCCTGCCAGAGCAACTGCACAAATCATAAGGGAAAATTAATAGCTACGAAGATGGTATTTCCTGATCTGCACCAGTTACTAAAGAAACATAAAACATTAATTCTCAACTCTGGTAAAAGGACCAGTTACTGCGAAAGCCACTCACCACAAAAGCCACTCATCGCGAAGCTACTAGTTAAAAGTGAGACCTTGAAAGTTCTCAGGAGCACTGACAGCAGACTTCTCCATACAAATCTGTTGCAGAGACTACTCTATTTCCTATGCACAGGGATCCCCGAGGTCGCCCGGGATGGGTCAGCAACCAAAGTCTGACCCACTACGACGGGACCCTCCCTAAAATGACCCTCCTCAATGGATTGGGTATCTCTTAGGTAGAAGTGGTAAAGACATTTTGTGTTCTCCAAAAGCCTGTTCTGAGCACATGTTCGAGGGGGCACCTGACACAAGAGCTAATGAGTTAGCAATCGCACAAACCTCATGCGCTCGTATTTGGTGTCTCTGTAAATCCTGTGTCGAGGTAGCCAAAAGGTTATGAACCGGGTACAGAAGTAACTCCTCCTGACCTCCGGGTTGATAATGTTGCCAGCTGGGGGATGACGATCACATGCATGGGAGGAACGAATTACAGTTAAAAGCTGACACAAAGGGATCCAAATTTGCGTCACCAGAGTTTCTTTTATTCTTGTAATGCAATGCACACACGTGGTTCGTGATGTAAGGGGAAAATCTTGAGGTTATGGGAAAATCTTGAGGTCATGGGGCTTCCTCCGATCTAGATTTCTCTCTCAGTCGTTGGCCGAATCGCAGATTAATGCCTACAGTTCCAAATAGTCATTTTGACTGACCAGAGTCTATGGTGGGTTAATGAATTGTAATCTGCCTCTATTTCCAACATCGCGCACCGGAAACAAAAAGAGAATGAAAGCTAGAGGCCTCGGGTGATTAATCGCCCTGGGGGGAGACCCCTTAGGCAAGGCTTTTTTCTTAGAGAATGTTCCCTTTGGACCCGGGTATATTCTCTGTAATTAAGCCTAACGAGTAATAAATAAAATTTCTGATAGATAGATAAAGGTTTGGTTTGTACAACCCTAATACTTTATGATTTTACACCTACAAATTGAGAATTGCAATTGCATAGTAATGAACACTAAATACATCTATCCCAGCCAGAATTAGAATCATCAGTCTTCATGAGTGATGTAACTGGTATTTCCATATATTTGCTTAGTCACTGGCAGCCAAGTGGTTGTCACATCTGACTCATGGCCGGTAGACCCAAATTCAAATCCTACCTTAGGCTGAACATCAAAAGGGTTGACCCCTACTCTGGGTAAGTGTGTCAAAGACTTATTATTTTGATTTTTTGACCTTGAACATCTAATACAACTTTTGGAAGATATTTCTACAAATAAACATAGGCATGTATTTTGATGAATGTGACAAAAATACAAGACTGTACATTGGTATCACAGATATAGTTGTATGAAGAAAAGGAAAATTACCAGCAATAGACCATCTTTTATCTACATGTAATCATAATACATCATGATGTACATGTACCCCTACAAGCCACATGGTTATCTTTAATCAAATCACAAAATGAACATGTATTCATTAATTACACATGCTAAATATCAATGAAAATGGTACACAGGTAAAAGAGAGTAGTATGGCCAAAAAAGGAAATGGCTGCCATCAACAATCTTTGATACAATTGTGAAACTAACTGCCATGGGCATGCATCCTATGTTTACCAGTAATTCATCAAAAAAAATAAACAATATGGCTACCAGTCGGCCATTTTTTGATCCAATCGCAAGTTATAGGTAGATGATGACAGCGTGGCTGTACCTGGCAGGTGGTGAGGACAACAACTAAGCATGAATGGTTACTGAAATGTTAGTAATAAAAACACTCCAACAATTGTAAATACACTTTCTAACAATCTGAGTTTTCTTGTATACTAGTATTTACAATATGGTAATTGTGAAAGCCAACAAAAATCTGACCAAATGCCTATGTAAATCCCGTTCAAATCTTGCATAAGTAACAGCCAATCACAATGATAAACTTACCAAAAAACCTTGTTTTTCCTGATCGTTTTCAACGAATGTTGGTATAATCCGCCATTTTATTTGAGTGTGTTTGTGACCTGACTCTGACCGGTGACGTCATCAGGTGCGCTATAGGAGGTATATGATTCATTGACTAAACCAGTCAGAGGAAGTCTTGTTGAAATCTCGTTACATAGGCATTTGTTCAGATGTATGTGACAATAGTTAAAAAATATAGCGAAGTATTAACAAAAAATAAAAAATAATAAAAAAAGTAAAAGTAAAATATATAAAATAAAATACTCGCTGTACAATACATCAGATGTTAATCAGATTGACGTGATGAAAAAGGGGATGATGGTGGGATTGTAAAGTTGAAAAAAGTAAGTTGTGAAGTTCGACTAGCTAACCCAAGACCGAAAACGGTACATTGGGATGGTTGTTGAGTCTCCCCTGAACAGTGTAACAAGATTACCCATGCATATAAATTTGATTGTTCAGGATAACTTCAAAGTTGAGTTTCTGTTGTTTTCTTAAATTTTCACCGGCCATTCGTTCGGCGGTCCGCGTTCCTCAGCAGCGCGCACAGAGCCCATAGAAATATGTGGTACAGTGGTGCGCGTCTTAGCAACGTGGAACATCTTGTGACGTAGATCCGCCTCGAGGATAGCAGGCAAACTGAACTATCGTGAGAATATGCAAATTCATGAAGGAAAGAGAAATGCAAATTAATCTTGTCAATAAATCATGCATAATGCTTCACATTATACATTAAATTATAATACAAATTAGGTAATTAATATGGATGGATTTAACCTAAAACCTAACCAAATCTGTGCATTAGCCAACAGCAATATAATAGTCATGTAACTGTAAGGCCTCCTGAGTTGGGATGACATTTTTTGTTTCAAATACCCCTTTGTGTAATTAGGTGTTCGTATGCAAGAGATTTTTCCACACAAAAACATTGAATTTGGCAGAATTTTGTTAACAGTTTGCCTAATGGATCATTTGGCTGTGAAAGATTGGTATTTTTTCCCTGATTTGTAGGAATATGATAAACATGTTTCGCAACTTCATGCCATATTCAAGATGGCGGCCCCCGATATACTTGTGCACCAGCTGACTGTGGTTGTGACTTGGTAGATCTGTCGTCACTTAGTAGGTGTAAAGTTAAATGGTACATATACACAATAAGTGTCAAAGCAATCAGAGCGGTTTTCAAGAGAAGAAGTCAAAAAAGTAAAAAGTAAACATGGACGATGGACAATCTCTCATATGATAAGCTCCGCTCAACAATGCGGACAGCAGGAATAACAAGACATGACATGTCATGTCATAGCCCCCGCTCAGAAAAAAATTTAAAAACTTATATTGAACTTTGTTTGTGTCAGAGTGAATTAATTCATTATGAGCTGTATTAAAATTCTGTTATTAAATGTTCAGAATTGATGTGTTACAATTTTAGGGGGTGGGGTAAATATTTATTCATTTGGCT